GCCGGGCGGGGCGAGCCGAGCCGGCGCCGCAGGACATTCCCGAGGATTCCCGGGAAAAGCTGCGGGGCCGGGGCTGCTCCGGGAAAGCCGCGGAAAGAGCCGGGAGAGCGCGGGACTCCAGCGCCCGGCCGAGACGGGGACACGGACACGGGACACGGGACACTGAGGCAGGGACGACCCCGCTGCCGGAGCTAGGAACGGAGCAGGAGAGGCCCCGCCCCCTCCCGGCCGCCGTAGCGGCACGTGCTGCGCTGTGATTGGTTGATAGGACCCGGAAGTACTTTGACACGCGGTCACACCTCCTGTATCCACTGGGGGCGGCCATTTTGTTTCACCCGCCATCTTATGGCAGGGCGCAGCCATTTTGTTTAACGTCACGCCGCCCTGTGATTGGCAGGCGGCCACCTCGTGACACCACCCTCCCCACGTGACCTCAGGCAGCCCCGTGATTGGCTGCCCGCGTTCTGTGGGCTCAAACAGGTGGATACAAGGCGTGGCTATGAAATTATTTATAAAAGGGGTGTTAAATAGCTACAACAAATAGTTCTCAGATTTATAAAAGGCGTGTTTAAATATGTATAACACATTTTTGTTCATGTGTTATACATATTTATATGTATATGCATATAGACATATGTAACACTACCTCTGTATTTGTGTATGTATTTAATAGATGTAGGTGAATTTAAAATAATGTATTAATTATAAATTGCAAAACCATATTAAAATTAATTAATTTTTACAGCTTTATAAATTCACTTGCATGTTAAAATATATGCACATAAATATACAAATCAATATTATGTAAGAACATAAATATTTTGAGCAAGCCCAGCCCAGGGCAGCAAGGATCGTTTGAGCACTCTGAGCAGCAGGTGGGAAGAGTAAATGATAAAATAAAAAAATTAACCCCCGCCTTTCCTTGATATTCCCCCTTTTTCTACCAGAGATCCCAAAAGCTGCATCTTTACAGTTTGCCCCAAAAGTCAACAGTGCAACCCAACAATGTCTCTGTCTCCATGGAATCTTTAGGTTTGGGAAAGGCCTCCAAGGTGAGTCCCAGCCCTGACGTGCCCACAAACCTGCAGGGTCAGCGACTCTCCCTTTGCCCTGGGCAGCCCTGAGCACAGCTTCCTTCAAGGACTTTCCCCAATATCCAGTGTAAACCTCCCCTGGAGCAACCTGAGGCTGCTTCCCCTTGTCCCCTGGGATCAGAGCCTGATCCCCAACTCCAGCCCAATGTGAATCCCAGCACAGCCAAGCTTTGGAATTCTTTGGCTGGGGCAGAGACCTCTGAGAGCAGCTTTCATGAACAGCACACAGTGGGCAGCAGGCATCATTCAGGATTTCACTTTTATTTATTTTTTGCCTTCTGGATCACCAACACTCTCACTGAAACCACTGGGATTCCACCTCCACCCCCATGACAGTAGCACACAATCTCCCAACTTGTTCAAACATGTGAAGAGGAAAAAAAACAAATCAAAAACCCAAAAAAACCCCAAAAACCAAAACCCCCACAAAAAAACCAAACCCACAAAAAAACAATCCCCAGCAAGATCCCTCAGGATGGGACAAAAACCTTCAGTGTGAGAGGGTGGCAAAGAACCAAGGGGTGGCAGCTCTGGCTCCGAGGAGCCAGACTGGAAAGGAGACCTACAAAGGGGAAAAAAAATGGGCTAAAAAATATTTAGCAATCCTTCCTCTACCCAGAGAGCAGGGAGATAAGGAAAAAATAGTCATCTGCTTACACACAGGGTATATATTTTTACACACACTTGGACACACATCTAGATATAGTACATGTAAAAATATATGCTATACATCTGCCCACCCCCGCGGCGGCATGGGCAGGATCCGTGTGTAGGAATTACTATACAGGTACTACTAAGTGTATATGTGCATATGTACACCCCTCCTCCTGGACACACCGACCCCACAGCCCCTGCTGCAGCTCTCTCCAGCAGTCAGCCAAGGAAAATGGTGTCGGAATGGGAGGAGGAGGGAAATCAGTGATGTGGCTCGTGCTCTGTGGTCCTTCAGCTCTGCTCCTGTGCCCGGAGCGGGGTCTGGCTCTTGGGAGCCCCTGCACCAGATTTATTGCACATTTTGCTTCTGGGCTGTGCTTCAACCCCACAGTCCACAGCCCTGGCCTCCTCTCCCTCCAACAAACCGAGGATACGGCCCCTTGTGCCCGTCCTCCCCTGCCCCAACATCCCCATCCCAAGAAAACAAAGGCCAGGAGGCTGCTGGCTGGAGAGGGCAGCAGGAATGACACACCACAGGTGTTCTCTGCAGGGACAGGGGGGTCCGGACACGGGAACCGAAACCATGCAAAGGGTGGGAGAATGGGAGCAGGAGGAGGGAAAAATAAAGGATGAGAAGGGCAGAACAGATCTGAGGAGGAGGAAGAACACAGCATGGCAAGTGCTCAAGGCTTCGTGTTTTCTTGTCCTCTTCTTGTAAACAAGTTAATAATTCTCATGAGATAGAACAAGTAAAAAGACTGAAGTTCCAAGTTGAGGGGCTGGAGTTCCCAGGAGTCTGTCCAGTCCATTCAGCAACATCACAGCTGGGGAGAAAACGAGGGGCATTTTTTTTTTGTTTGTTTGTATTTTTTGTGTTTTTTTTTTGTTAAAATCTTCATTACTTAAAGCTGAGAGAGAAAAAAAGCCAACTCAGGAGCCCTTTTCAAGGATGGCTCATTGTCTCTAGACTGAATAAATCACACTAATTTCAAGAGAACCTTTTTTTTTCCATTTAATGACTTATAAAAGCCGCGGGCTGGCCCTGGCCAGGCTCAGAGGCGGGTCTGGGCCTCGGGGACGTAGATCTCGATGCTGTCAGCGCTCTCGGTGGCTGAGTTCTGCCGCACGGACGCCGCGCGCTTGGCCGCCATCAGCCGCTTCCGCGCCTCCTGCCGCTGCTTGTCCGAGTCAGAGCCTTTGTCCCGGCTCAGCTGCGATTTGGACTTGGCTGGCTTCTTTGGCACTGGAGGGGGTGGTTTCTTCTCTTCCTTTAGGGAGACAGTAAGGAAAAACCCAGACCTGATATAAACATGTGGAGCTGGGTGCCGGCTCTGCCCTGGCAGGGCCTTGCCAGAGGGACTGGGATCATGCTGGGGAGATCAGCTCTGCAGCAAGACTCCCCTCAAAATCAGCAGCCCTGGGTTCTACAAGGAGCCATTCTGCATTTCATGGAATCATAGAATGTCCTGAATGGGAAGGGACCCACAACAATCATGGAATTACAGAATGGTCTGCGAAGATCATCCAGTTCTACCCACCCTGCCATGGCAGGGACACCTTCCACTAGACCCTGTCCAACATGGCCATGGATTTCCTGGGATGGGAGTCCACAATCCAGAGGCTGATGATCCACAACCAGAATCACTCATCCAGCCCTGGCACGACACCCTGTCTTTAGGAGCGATGTCCAAATGCCCCCTGAGCTCTGGCAGCCTTGGGGCTGTGCCCATTCCATGGGGAGCCTGGGCCGTGCCAGCACTCTCTCAGGGAAGAACCTTTTCCTGTTATCCAGCCTAACCCTCCCCTCCATGCAGCTTTCATGGTACAGGGCTCTTCTGGAGTGGCCTGGAGTTCAGAGATTGTCTCATTCAGCTGTAGCTCTGAGCATAGCACAGGCAGCATGAAGACACAACTCGATGTGGAACTGCAAAATTTTAATACGCCACCCTGGCCTGAACCATGGTTCTCCCTACCCTGGCAGAGCCAGGACACCACCTCTCCTGCATTTTCCAAAGGTTTAAGTTGTTAAGGAATGGCCTTGGTGCCTTGTGAGGTTGTGAGATGACAAGTGCAGGATGGCAAAAGCCCTTGAGAGCATTTGTTTGCAGAAAAAAACAGACCTCAGGCACCTCAAATGGGTACAAGGTGTTCTGGCCACTCCCCAGTGCCCCTCACTCACCTTTCTCTCCAGTGTCTCAGACAATTGCCAGCTATTAGCTTTGAGGTGGTACAGCTCGTCAAACTTCATGCTGATGTCTTCAATGGACAACTGGAGGAGATCCCAAAATCCAGCCAAGTCCTGGGCTGTGGGTCTGGGATTTGCATTAGGGTTCTAGAAGGGGAAGCATTAAAAGCACCATTTCAGAAAGAACACACCCAGCAGAGGAGTGTGCACAGCACCTTCACCCCTTTCATGTTTGCCTGCAAGCAAACGCAGCAAGAACCCACAGGAGACACTGGCCCTAAGCATGGACACACAAAGCCATCATTTACAGCCCAAATGATTTCTGCCAAGCTCAAGAAGCAGGTCCTGACTGCACTCCTCCTTCCAGCAGAGTAATCCTCAACCAGACACCCAGTGCTGGCACTAACTCCACAGCAGGAACCTCCAACAGCACGTCCCCAGCGTGGCAATCAGAGCAACACTGGGTTCTTACACAGAGAGCCTGATTTTAGGGAGGGAAATTATGGAAATTGATACCCAGCTCTGATGCCTGGATGTACAGCACTCAAGAAGCCAAACTGAACTTTCATGAGCAAAATTATTTTGCTACGTTTCTGCCCAAAACAACCTGAAAGCATCAGTACTTCTCAGGCTGGGTTGAAAAATTTTAAGTAGCTTAAGTTTCTTCCAAGAACAGGATTTTCCCAATTCCCAGAGAGCTGAACTACTACCACAAACCCTGGAGAACATGGGATCAGATCCGAGCAGCTCACACAAAGCTCTGCTGGTGCTGCTGCTCCGCTGGGATCAGCACTTTACCCCCTGCTGCTCCTCAAGTCTCTCAAGATTATTTTACATCTAAAGGGGAATTCGCCTCTGAGGAAGTTTGTATAATCCATGTTTCAATAAAACTTGAGGGGAAAACTAAACCACAGATTCCATCAATGCCCATTAGCCCAGGTCAGCTCCGAGCAAGGGCAAACCCCCTGCATTCCCTTTCAGAGATCAATTCCCAGTGACCTGGGGCAGTGTCACCAGTCACACATGCAAAGGGAGCATGTGTGGTCAAGAGCAGATTTATCTGGCCCAGCCAAACCCTCAGGGGTTTGTCTCAAAAAGCCCTTCAGAAGCAGGAGGCACCTCTGTGCTAATCCAGCCCTTCCCAGAGCTGCACTGGCTTTGTGTTCACAGGGACAGGAGCCTTTTAACACCTGACCAAGTCCTTGTAGTGCTGCTGAAAGAGAGGCATCCTCAGAAACAAGGAGAAAGAGATCCAGACTCACCAAGTTTTGTTCACAGAGGCCATGGAATTGCTGGAACTTCTGTGACATTAGTAACTGTGCACTGCCCACTGCACTCAGGACTTTTCCCAAGACTGTGGGGGACCAAAAAAAAAAAAAAAAAGAAAAAGGGAAAAGACCTGAGTTGAACAGACTATTAATTGTAGCAATGAGCTCCAGCATTTCTGGAGCAAAGAAACACTCAAATAATCAGAAAAGGAATTTCAGAGATCCTCAAGGCACTAACTGCTCTCAGGAACAAGATGTTATGAAACTGCATTTGTCTGCCATTGCTCCTTCTGGCAGGCCAAACACAGACCTGGCTGAGGACATTACAACATCCATAGAGCTCCTCAAACTGCCCTCAGCCCCTCAGAAGAGCCACCAGCACCACCTCAATGAGGTCTGCTGGCACCTGCCTAGAGATCCCAGCCTGCTCTCTTAGCCCTGCACAGGGGAAAGATGGCACAGGGACTATCTCCAGCCTCCCTGTACCAGCAGGGATTAACAGACAGGCCAGGGCTTTTAGCACCCTTTATGCAGGCAGCTCTTAATGGGTTTTCTAAGCAGCCTCTGGGCATGGACATGTTCCTCTGCTCATTAGAGGAAATACAGCCTGGATTTTTCCATTCCAGAGGCAGGTTCAGAGCCCCATGTGCCTGCAGATGCATCACCAACAGAGACCACCTGAGTCCTGCTCCTGCTCTGCTGCTGCCCCTGAACCTGCTGGGGAGATCTTGGCTGGACAAGCACACCCTGGGCTCTCCCACCCACCAAGGCTGTGGTTAGATGATCAAGCAGCCTGGCAGTCACAGAACAATGCCATGCAGGTTTTGCTGTCTTTTCTGGCCACAGGTGAAGCCAGGCCAGCCCCGAGGCAGGGAGATCCCTGGCACAGCCTGTCCCCCTGGCAGCCAGGGCAGCAACTCAGGGAATCGGATTGGGGATTAGCTCCTGGAGCCCCAGCACTGACAGTGAGCTAGAAGTGAGCCTCACCTTTGTTTCACCTTTCTCAGGTTTTAGAAACATCAAAACCGAGCTCCACACAAAGATCCTGACCTCTGCAGTCTCATCACCCACTCCTGTCACTCTGTATGTACCAGAGACATGATTCCCACTGCAAAAACCCCAGATTTTGCCAAGGCATTTGAAAATAAAGGAACAAGCCCAGCTAGGACTGAACCCCATAAAATCAACAGGCCTCATGATCCCTGATCCATGCTTTTGATGTATCCAGTACAAGCTCAGTGAGTTAGAAACCTCCTCTTTCCTATAAAGACAAGTTCATTGACTGAACTGAGCAAACAAGCTCTGAAGTGGTGTTCCTTCTGCCCCACTGCCAGCCAAGCTTTCCCCTGCCCCTTTGAGAGTAATGGGGGATGCAGGGAGAGATCCCACAACCTCCCTAAAAGCTTCTTCCATTTAACCTTTTTTAAGATTAAATCTATTTAAGCTTTTAGCAGTTTTGAGTGGTTGGAAGGCACAACATCCCCTGTATGTCTTTTCCACTGAATCAGAGCATTCCTTCTTACTCCATTTGCTACAGGAAACTATGTTACCCTCTCCAAGGAAAAAGCATTCCTTGTTCCATCCTCATCTCCATGCTGTGTTTCTGTGGGCTGTCAGCACTTTCATAAAACCCCAGAATGGTTTGGGTGGGAAAGGACCTTAATGCTCATCTCATTCCACGGGCAGGGACACTTTTCACTATCCCAGGCTGCTCCAAGCCCTGTCCAACCTGGCCTTGGACACTTCCAGGGATGGGGCAGCCACAATTTAACTGACCCAATACTCAGCTCCAAACTCCTTCTGGAGGGAGGAGCCGCTGCCCACACGCACCTTCCTCAGAGAGATTGTTCTCTTTGGTCTCCTGGTCCATCTGGCGGCACCAGCCCTCCAGGCGCTCAGTCTCTGCCTGCAGCAGCTTCAGGAACCAGAAGCCATCCCGCCGGCAGGGCCCCGGCTGCGCCGGCTCCGACGGCGACGTGGAGGAGCTCTCGAGCCAGGGGTCAGGAGGAGGGAGAGAAGAAGGCTCCAGGGCTGGGTCGTTGTTGTCTCCATAGGAGAGGTTTCTCTTAATCTGTGAGGGCTTGGCTGGTTGCCTGGTGGAGGCATCAACACCAACAGAGTTGTTGTGCTGGGGGCACTCAGCGAGGCTTCTCTCAGATGATTTACAGCTGGAGTTATTTGGCTCCTGCGTGTCAGAGTCTGTGTCCTGTTTGGAGGACATGCTGCGGGAGTGGCTGTTTCTGCAGGGATCAAAAGCCATCGTTCAATAGCAGAGCTCGGCTAGGCCAGCCTCCCACACTGACAGCAAAATCCATGGCCACAGCAGAGCCTCTCCCTGCCCCTGCTCACACACAGACTCACCACACACTCAGACAGACGGAGTTATAAGGTTGCCTGCTTACTGCAATCGGCTGTTCAGATGAGAGGGCCGATGCATGTCCATAATTACTGCTTGGAATTTTTTATGTTTTAATTTCAAGCTCCCATTGATTTCGCTGTTAGAGAACAAGTGCTTTTTGCAGCAGGTGTATGCTGTGGAGGAAGAGCTCTCAGTGGGCCCCATTCAACACCACTCAGTGGCACAAAGCAGGGAAGAAGGTCTAAGCACAAGTTGGGGAAGCACAATTTAAAATAAAAGGAAACTGCACAAGTTGCGTCTCACTTACCGCCACTCGTCCTCTACCTGTACCCCGATGGACTGGAATTTGGTGGCTGGTGGAGGAGGCTCCTCTTTTGCCACTGGCTGAAGGCAGTCAACCTTATTGAACAAAAAAAAATACAGACAAAAACAGACACAAGAACTTGTGGCTGGAATCCACGTTAGCAGAGCAGGAGTGTGCACACAGAGCATGTTGACACCACACGGGGGGCTGGCTAAGGACAGGCCCAGGGCTACTGCTCAGCTCTGCAGGGCTACTGCTCAGCTCTGCAGGGCTACTGCTCAGCTCTGCAGGGCTACTGCTCAGCTCTGCAGCCACCTCAGCACCAGGGCTGTGTCCTGCCAGGCTGCTGCCACCACCTGTGCCAGGAGCCCAGGGTCGGGGCTGTGTCCCCATGCCTGTGACATCCTACACAGTCAGGGGCCACGGCATTCAAGGGAGGACAGAGAGGTGATTGAGACTAACAGCAAAGCCTCTCTCCCAGGGACTGACACCCTCCATGGCTCTGGATAAGAGGGTTAGAAGGTTTTAGGAAAGAAATCCAGGTGACTTAGGAACCAGCTCAGAAAAGGAAAAGCAGAGGAAGGCAGTCAGCCTCTCCTGTTTCTCTCCCCTTGCTGCCCTTTCAGATGTTCTGTCCCACCAGCCTTGCAGAGAGGCCTTCACTGTCACCTGTACTGAGCTGGCCTTGCTGTAAACCTGATGGGAGAACTCGTTCAGCACACACACAGCAGCTCAAAGCTTGGATCCTGCTCTTGGAGCTGCCCAAGTTCTCCTCTGCTGGTAACCAGCACCTGGGACAGAACCACAGCTCACAGCCACCTATAACTAAGAAACCTGTCCCAGAGGAGGGCATGGCCCCAGAGGATGCATTTTGCTGACTAAAGCATGGATTTACACTGCTCCCTGGGTTCTCATTTCACTGTGTTATCAGAGCTCATTTCCATCGATTCCCATGGTTAAATGCTTCCAGCAAGGGAAGTACCAACCTGCTGGGAATGCTGGGCAGCAAGGAATTGCTCCCTCCTGCCTGCAGCCTGGGACCATTTGGCACTGCAGCAGCCCTTTGCACATGGACATCAAGCAGAAGGACCCACCACTCAGGGAAGAACTGTCCCTAGAACCATGATGGACAAGGAGCAGACTGATGGGAAGCAATACAGAGTACAGGGCACAGGCAGACTTGCAGCCGAAGGTGTCCTCAGAGGGACTCACCCAGTTAACATGGCCCCTCTGCTCTAGAAAACATTTAAAATTTGTACTAAAAGAGCTTAGTCCTTTCTGGGCTGTTAAAGGAAAGTGCTGCTGTCTCTCACCCTGGGAACACAGGCAGTTATTCAGACAAGGCAGTGAGTGGCTCTTGCTATTCTAAGTGAGCTCAGATGCACACCTGGTCACAGAGAAGGCACACGCTAAATGGATGGGGCAAGGACATTCCTTGGGACAAAGGAGAACAAACTATTCCATACTTGTATTCCTATAGATGATAGCTTTCTTTTGGGGATAGTCTCCACTTTAGGCTCTTCGTTAGTCAGAGTCCCTTTGTCACTTTTCAAAGTTGCATTTTTCTGAGGTAACTCTGGAGTGTCTCTGGCTGGAGTGACGATGCTGCCCCTGGTCACACTGGGTGTCCTGGTGCTGTCCAAGCTGTCTGAGGAATTGCTGAGCCCCGACTGGCTGGTGACCTCACTCTTGTGGTCCTGGCTGTCCAGGTAGGTGTCCTGTGCCGACTCAGTGCTGCTCTGCACAGTGACAGAGATGAATGGCTTGGACGTGGTCCGAGGTGGGACGGGAGGTGGAGTCTTTTTATATGCCACTAGGCATGATGAACCTGCAGGGATGGAGGGGAGAACGGAGAACGCAGGAGACAGGTTGGAGGGAAAGAGATACGGTGGAAGAGAGAGAAAAAGCAGGTCAGTCACGACATCCAAGAGGAGCCTCCGAGCAGCAGCTGGAGGCAGAGGTGCAGAACCAGCCCACAGGCAGCAGCTCACGCCGGGGACCCACACCAAAGCATAGGGGAAGCGAAGGCAGAGCCAGAGCTAGCTTGCAAAAGAAGTCAAAAGGAGTACCATGATGCGTGGAAATCTGGAAATGGAGAAGAGGGATAGAAAAGCCTCCCAAGAATGCTACAGAGTTTGGCAGGTGTAAGCCTCCACAGTGGACAAATATTTTTTGGCTAAACCCTATGTTTTAGTGTCCTAGTACAGCCAAGTGTCTCAGTTCTTTGTCCCATCAGTTGACAAGTTTCAATGTCTGGATCAGGGCGATGGTTTTTCCTATAAAAACGGAAAGAAGCCATAAAATTTGTTAGATGTTGATGGCAGGAACACACATTTGAAGCCCCTGACAAGCCCAGCTGCTCCATGCCAGAGGAAAAGACATTGTCTGGATGCAACAGCCCAAGAGGGTGAGGCTGCTACTCCATGGCCCCAGATCCAAGTGGCAGCAAGGCTGAGATGTGTGCCTTGCAGACACAGAACACACACATCCCACTCAAAGGGATAGATATGTGGCTGGCCACAGGAACCAGGACAGCAGCCACCCTGCTCCTGTCTCTGGCTGGACAAGATGGAAGTCCACCAGTGAAAATACATATAAAATACAAGTAAAATCCATGTGGATTCTATAGCAGCCATGTTTAGGCTCTCAGTCTGCCCAGGATATGCAAGCTCCTAAGGCCACAGTCCCATTTCAGCTGCTGTGCAATATCCCCCTACCCCTGTACGCTCGGTCCACCCCAAGTCACCAGACTCCCTTTCTTATCCTACCTCTGGCTCCTCCTGTAAAGTCCTGTGGAATCCCAAACTGCTTTTCCCCTGCACCCCACAACACATCCTAGTCCTTGCCAGCAGCCTCCTTAGTCCCAGAGACCTGGAGTTACTCCCCATGCCACGCCTGCCTCACCATTTCCAACAGAGCCACATTCCCTGTGGGGCAATCACAGATCTGCCCCGTGAGTCTTACTGACAGTATGTGGACATGCCTGCATTTACACATCCCACTATTTACCACACTAAGAGCTAAAGCTGCACTTCTTCAAAGGAAGAACTAAAAGGGAAGACTTACAGAGGAAGAGATGTGTGTTTCCAGCAACATTTCTGTGCCCAGAGATGCTGAGCAGCACCATAATGGTGCTGCTGGCAGAGGAGGAGAGGCCTGTGCAAGGCTGCCAACCCAGCTGCCTCCAGCCTGGATCTGCACCAAACTCATTCCAGTTCCCTCAGGCCACTGCACCAAGTCCAGCACAAACTGAGCAGTGTCCTGGTGGCAGGAGAGGACCCATCCCACTACCCATCACTCTCTGCCTCACACAGGTGAGAGGTGACCATGGTCCCCCTGCCAGAGCTGCCTGATGTGGAACATCCTCTCCAACAGCAATTTCTTGGCCCAGTCCCATGGCCTGACTCACACAGCCCATCCCAATGGGGCAGTGTAGGAGCAGCCTGACCAGAGCCATGGCAGAGGCACCCCTGGATCAGCTTCGCCTACACCCCAAAACAACAGGTTACTCCTGTTCCTGCACCAGGGCTACAGCAGCCACCGGCCAGGACAAGGCAGAGCCACCCCAACTGGCAGAGGTGACAGAATGTCACATTTCTCTTTGGTTAAATCCCTTCACATGGCCCCTGTTCTTCTCCAGGGACAGTGCCCAGGGTACCCTGCTACCCACAGCCCCTGTGACACAGCCCCTGCTTGGAGCTGGACTGGCAACAGCCCTTGGCTTGGCTGGCACGGTCACCAGGAGCTCAGCCCAGCTCCCAGCTGCTGGGGACACTGCCAGGAATTCCTGGGGAAACTGATGGCTATTTGACATCAGTCTGGTCAGGCAGAACAAGGGGAGGGCACAGCAGCACAGATCTGGGGCAGATCAGTGGTGTCCATGGTCAGTAAGCCAGACCCAAAGTCACTGCCCACTTACCAGCAGACAGCATGAACGCTGCTGCTCTGTTAAGGGGGGAAACCACAGTATTCCCTTGGCACGTTCCTGGGATCCCTCCGTGCCACCTGGCTTGGCTGAAGGGCAGCACAGGCTTTGCTGGAAGAGAAAGACCCAGGACCAACAAAACACAGCCCTGTTCATGTATCTGTGCTCAAAGGGTTCACTACCTGAGCTACAGAAGTATAAGGCTCTAAGAAACACTGCAAGTGACAAACACAAAAGGATCAGGAGCTTTGAAGAACTGGGGATGCATTAGTCAGTGCAATTGCAAATTAACCTCACTGAAACCCTCTGCAAACATAAAACAGGACTTCTGACTGTCCAGCAAACTCAGAAACCACACCTTCTTAGAATGGGGGCTTCAAAAGCCAAAATCAGAGCAAGCCCATCCAGAACAGTCTGTCCTTGGCCCTCAACACAAGGCTGAACTAAGGTTCAGTGCTTCCTCAATCTGTGAGAGGAGACAAATCTTGAGGAGACAAGAACATCCCAGTGTTTCCATAGGAGAAGCAGGCAGCATTCCCTCCTGACTCTGAGGCAAATCCCACCAGTCAGGAGCATTCCAGTTGCTGACTTACCCCTCCAAAGGCCTACAGCTCAACAGGCATGGATCTTTTCTGGACTTGCTATGGTCACAGCCTTTTATATTTTAAAATCAGCTTCTGCTGCCATGTAGAACTGTAACTCCTGTGGGCACTGGAGCAGGACCTCACTGTGCAGGACCATCAGCTCAGTTTGCTTGGGAACATCACCCCTGTTCCAAAAAGGTGTGGAACAACAGAAGAACATGGAAGTCATGCTTACTCTTCCAGTTTTGCAGCAGTGGGCTCTTCCTGCTCACAGGATCTTCTGAAGCTTATTTCAGCAAGCAGTTGGAATTCACAGCGTGCTGTGGATGATTGATTTTGGGGAGGAGGATGTTTGTTTACAGTCTTCCTTCTGTAATTATTTTTAGAAAGCAGCATGTTTCCAAATTAGCACCTTGCACCTGCCCTTAGGGGCTTGGGAAATTCTCAAGGATGCAGCCCTGGGCAGGGAGAGGAGCTGTTTGCAGAGCCTTATACTGGAAAGTCCTCTGGACCCTCAAAAACCAGCTGGGCATGGTGGGATCCTCTCCCCCTCCTTCCAGAGGTGTTTGTTTTTTGAAAGACTAAAACTTGAGTCACAAAAGAATGTGAAATCCAGCCCCTGTTCCCACCCCACCTGGCTGGTACCTGGCAGCACCACCAGGGTCACAGCCAAAGTATTTGGGGTCAGATTTAAGCACCACAATTGCCCTCAAGTGCCAGTGTTCTGCTGCTATTGCTGATTCAGTGCAGCCTGGAAACATTTCCAGTCATTCCAGGAACTTCAAAGACCTACTCAAACCATCCTTATTTTTGTTAAATCACCTCAAAGGCCCCCAGTCACAGCTGTGGAGACAAGTTCCCCTGCCCTCAAACATCAGGGCTGGCTGCTATCCCCATCCTGCTCCATGCATCCCCCTTTCCCCACGGGAAGGGCTGAAGGAACGACCTCATTTCCTCACACATAAAGCACAACGCTCTGAAATAATCTCTCCTACAAGGCAAGCTCATTTGCCTTTTAAATAAAACAACCATGGAATAATCTTACAGCAAATGGCATCAGTGGCATTATCCCTGTGGAGATTCCGGCTGCAGGGCTGTGGGCTGGCCTTTGCCACAGGGTCTCCAGGCTGGAAGGAGCTGCTTTGGGAGGCAGTTTCCAATAGCAAAGAGAACTGGAACAGCTGCATTCCAAGCAACCTGACCTCTGATTTTCATTAGCTCGAGGAACACTTCAAGGTTGGAGCTGTAATGAACTGTAGGATGTTTTATTTGTAGAGAGTCCAAGTGGAAATGAGTCCCAGTGACAATTCATACCAAAGACAATACGGACACATTGAATGGTTCACAATAATCACTTCAGACCCGATTTTTCTCCTGCACACTGAAGGTCAAGATACCTCCAACCTGTTAGAGGCACTGCTGAGCAACCCACCCAAATTTTGTTAGTCAACAGGAAAATCATAGAGGTCAGAAATCAAAGAGGCTTGGGTTGGAAGTACCATAAAACTCACTTTTTTCTTACCCCTGCTATGGGCAGGGACACCTTCCACTACCCCAGGTTGCTCCAAGCCCTGTCCAACCTGGCCTTGAACGCTTCCAGGGATGATTTTTTCCAAATATCCCACCTAAATCTCACCTCTTTAAAACAATTTCTGCTTGTCCTATCACTATCTGCCCACGTGAAAAGTCACATGGCTCCCATATATTTCCATCTAGACACAGAGATGATGGTGGTGAAGATGCCACCTCTTGCCCTGACAGAATGACTGTCTTTAGAGTGCTGGAGGAGATTTAAAAGAAGGTTTATAGTGATTAAACCAAACAACTCCCAGAAAGCAAAGTCAAATGACTGCATTTGTTCAGAGTATATGGAAATGCTATAAATACCTCCTCCCTCAGTGCCTTCCTTTTGTAAATCTCAGTAGCAGTGATCTTTGAAAACTTTTTGAAAAACTAAAAATCTCACCTTGATACTACAGAGAAGTAAGAGATACACATGAATGGGCTGTGGGAGCCAGGGAAGGGCTGTGGGCTCTCCTGCCAGTCCTCACTCCCAGCTGCAGGGTGACCCCAAGAGCAGCAGCATCCTGGCACAAGCAGCTCCCCAGAGCACAGGCCAAAGCATGTGCCACCTCTGTGGTGGTGCCCATGGATCCCTGCAGAGTGACCAGCCCAGCAGAGCCCTTTAACTCTCAGATGATCCCAAGGAACACCACAAACACTTCACCAGCTGCTTATGCTTGTCACAGAGCCCACACACAGGCCAGGCTGTGCTTGTGAGTCAGAGGACAGAGAATTCCCCAGGAGCTCCTCCCAGGCAGCAGCGCCAGGGAAGAGCCCTCTCACCTGTTGTGACAGCCCTGCATAAACCCAGCCCAGACGCCCAAATCACCTTGAGTACTTCTGAAGGAGGTCAGAGGAGAAATTCAACACTCCCCATCCTCAGCTTTCAGCCCCACCACAGCTCAGGCAGAGCAGCAGTGCTTGGGCATGGCTGGAATGGCAGCTGGGACAATGGGACCACTGCAGGCTTGTCACTTCTCCCACCATATAATCCTCTTGTTCCTAGGACAGAGAGCCAGGCCCTGGTGCCATGGGACCCCACAGGGACTCCTGGCAGAGGCAGGAGCTTCCCAGCAGTGCCAGGGAGCACAGCAAAGGGCAGGAGCATCTGAAGCAGGGACCAAGGAGAGGTGATGGGCAGCAGGCTGGGGTCAAACCCTCACACTCCAAGGCAGGAGTGTCACTCCAAACACTGCAGCTCTTCTCACCAGCAGCTACAGATGATGAGCAGCCCTCACTCAACTATACCCCAGTCACTTTTCCTGACTCATGGGAAGTGGCTATTTCCCCCTGGTCAGCATCAATTCACTTGTGAGATAAGCACAGAGAGAGGAGATGCCCTTCCTGAGCACCACAGCTCCTCTGGAGCAGCCTCCATCCAGCCCCACACTGCAGCTCCTGCTTGGCACAGCCAGTACTGGGTCTGCAGACTGCATTTCAGTGACCTGGAATTTTGTTACACAAAGAAGTAACCTCTTAGCTTTCAGCAAGTGGCCTCAAAGCCCTCCCTGAGCAGCTGTGAGGCTGTCACAGCATCAACAGACCTGTGTCAATAGATCTTTGCTGCCCAGCTGGGAAACCCTTTCAAGTGCTGGAGCAGTGAGCACACAGCCACAGCTGTGAGAGATTGGTTACCCCTTGCTCCTGTTCAGGTCCAGCACAGCCTGGCCACAGCACTCCTGTACACCACAGAGGCTCTGCTGGTAGGACAGCTGGTAGGTCCCTTTTATCCATCTATAGTTGGCATTAGGAGAAAAGGGACCACCCTGCACTCCCCTCACCACTGCCAAGTGCCCTATGTTCCTGCATATCACTGATGAAAAAACTGAACATATCTGCAGAAAAAGGACCTCAAACTGAAGGAAGCATCTCTCAACTGCTGCAGACAGAAGCAAATGCAGAAGCAAAGGCTCCTTCTGAGCATCAGCTGTGTATTTGTAGACTAACAGTAGAGCTCTCATCCAGAAATGCATGTATGCTCTGTATAAAATGCTCTGTAGAACCATTTGTGTTCCCTGATGGACTGTGATGCCCTTGGGGAGGGCTGCAGCACTGGTCACACCTCAGAGCCACCCTGCAGGGTGTGAGGGATGCCTGGGGCAGGCACAGGGACACTCAGCAGACAGTTCTGATTACAGACCCAGTCCCTGTACTTTGGGAGGGAACATTTAACCAGAGAAGGAAAGGCTGAGGGCTGTGAACTCTTTACATGAGGGACTTTGGATTTTTCAGTGTACCAGACATTTAAGCATCATGGAGATGCTCCAATTTAGAATTCCTGAGCACAGAAATGATAATAAGCACTGATACATTGAGAACTATTGCACTGAGAAGGCAAGGCATGTTGTTTTTTTTTTTAAAAAAAAGCCACTTGTAGAAGGTCACAAATGTTTTTAGAAGAGGCATGAAGCAACAGAAGACACCCCCCAGAGAATTCTAGGGGTTAAAAATAGGGTACCTCACACTGCTGGCTCCTGACAGATCTGGCCATCCCTTCTTTCAGCACAGCCTGCTGCAGAGTCAGCAGGGACACAGCAGATGCTGCAAGGGACACCAGCCACAGGCACTCCCAAACCCAGCTGCAGCAGCTGACACTGGGGCTGCTGTGTGTGTTAGAGGAGACACTGTGAATCCTCCCCACCCTCCCCAAAGCCATTGTCAGGGGTTTGTAAACTCTTTGCAGCCATGGTGAGCAGCTCCACCCTGCTCCAGCCACACATCCATCAAGTGTCCTTCTGTCCTGGAGGCCCAGACAGGTCTCCAACCCAGCCAGCACAGGGCAGCAGCCAAAAGGAGCATTCCCTGCCTCTCCCTGCCCCAGGGGTTAATTCATTAACAACTACCAAGGTCCCCAAGCACAAGTACTCTGCCTCAAGAAGTCACTGACTGGGAAGAGAAAAGTCATTGTCCCAGGACTAGCAGAACTGGTGTGTGGGGGTGCCTGATCCCCAAGGACAGGTGCTGTGCCAGCTCACTGCTCATTTAGTGCTGGCACACACTTCTTCCACCCCAGAGGGGCTGGACTGAAGGGACAGTCCATCAGTTCAGTGCTCCTCTGCTCTGGGCTGGGACTCAGGATGTGCTTATTCCCACCAAAACCCTCACTAGTGAGGGCTGATGCTTTTCACACCCAAGAGGTGAAACAGCAGAGACAGTGGGGGCCCAAGCTCACAGAGCCCTGGGATCTCTGATCAACAGCCACACTCCTGGTGTCCACCCAACCCAGGACCCTGCACCAGGAGGGCAGCACCAGAGTCCCCAGCAGCACCTGGACCGTGCTGCCAGGTGGCTACAAGTCACCAGTGACTTCTGCTGCCAGATCCTGCCTGGCTCCTCTAGCACAGCCAGGGCTGCCAGAGGAGCTGAGAGCCCACCCAGGCAGGCCTGGAGCTCGATCCCCATGGCCACACACAGCTCTTCCCCAGCCAGACCCCTGGACATGGGCACCCTGCAGCACAGGATGCTGAGCAGAGGCCATGGGAGAAGGGCCAGTGAAATTCTGATCTCATGGCAGGTTTTGTAGGAGTAGAAAGCTCTGGGTGACAGGACTTCAGCTGGGCCTTAAGGCCACACCATTTCTCTCTGCTGGCCTTAGTGCAGAGGATGCAAAAATGGGGTCCCATGGTGCTGAGGAGCCACCAAATCACGAGGCCCAGGACTTGCTGCATCACCCAGCAGCCTGTCTGCTACAGACCTCTCCTCCTCCTCAATTCAGGACCTCCTCACTCAGCTCCAGAGGGCTCTGACCCCAGCCTGAACCATGGCAGGCACAGGGGGAAGGAGCAGGTCCCTGGCTGTAGCACAGTGGGGATGCCAGGATGGAGGGGCTGAAACATTTCTGTGCACACAGCAACTGGAACATGGGAATAGGGAACATGGAGAACCCACACTGCTGCTTTTCCTGCCTCTGCAGAAGGCAAGAAGCCTTGCAGATACCCTGCCTACACATCTGCACAGAGCAGAGGCCTCTTCAGAGGGCCATCAGGAAATGGTTCAGCTTTGAACCATCTGTGCCACAGAAGATTTCCAGAGAGAGCAGGCACTTCCATCAGCCCCTGGCATTGGAACAGGTCCCATGGACTTTCCTGCAGCCAGTGACAGGTAAGAGAATGCAAGACTGGACAGACTGGAGCACACAGCACCTCACAGAACCTGCCCAGCAGCTCAGCACCCACCACTCCCAGGGCTCCAGGAGATACCAGAACCACTTCAGAACTTCATGGACCACAGCTTAGTGACCACCTATAGACCAAAAGCTCCTCAGACACTGAGACAAGCTGTGCTGAAAAGGTGCTGCCACAAAAAGAACAGCAATCCTTTCTGCTGGTGCACTGAAGCATTATCAACTTCATCTTCCTGATGCAGGGACATATGCCTGCAGCATCTCACCCAGATGTGGCAAATAAAGCTCAGAAGCAGCACAAGGGAGTGTCCACTGGACTCGAAACACACACAGGTGGTCAGTGCAGCAGCACAGCCACACAGTGCCCAGGGCAGCTCTAACACCATCAGTCAGCAGGTCAGAGACAAGAGGGACCTCTCAACAGGAGAGGGAAAACACAACTGGAGATATGCAGAGACTTGCATTCCAGAGAGTATTTCTCAGGAATGGCACTTATTGCAAGCAGGCTCCATCCCTCCTTGCTTTTAAACACTCACTGTGCCAGTCCCAAAATGTTGATTCTGCTGCTCTGGGACTGCAGGGTCTGTTCTGGCAACTGCACTCTGTAGCTTTGTCTGGGCTGGTTTGGGCTCTGCAGCCCCCAGTGTCTCCAGGAGAGAGGCATGGCACATGCCAGACCATGGAAAACAGGCAGAGAGGGGAAACTGGGTGCCCCAGGATTCCTGTCCCACAGCAGTGACCTGTCCCTGTGTCCCTCTCCCTGTTAAATGCTGCCCTTTCTGCAAGGTTTGCCCAGGGTTATCCAGCACAGACATGGAATTAGAGCAAAAATGTGAACCAGACAGGAATTAGCCAGTG